GGGATGGGGATGGGTGGTGGTGATGGGGAATTGCGGAGCCGAGGCCGGCGGTTGTGAGGGATGGGGGTGGCGGGGAGGCATGGGAGTTCGAGGTCGCGGGGGTCGAGGGGTCGAGGTCACGGTCTGGGTCGGGGTTGGGGTCGGTGTCGGGGAGGAGGGGGAGAAGGAGGAGGCATCGGCGGAGGGATGGGAGTGGGAGTGAGAGGTCGAGATCGGGGAGGTCTGGGAGGTCTGGCAGGTCTGGCAGCCACCGGTCGCAGCGCAGTCGGGATGGGGAGAGCAGGGACGGGCGGAGGGCGCGGCGCGAGAGGGAGAGACGGAGAGGGGATGGGTCGCGCAGTAGTGGGAAGCACAGGAAGCGCGGGCCGCCGCCAAAAAACTTCATGTTCTGCTTCCCGTGGGTCAGGTCGCGGCGGATGCGGTCCCAGATCCTGCGGTGTTCCGTGTCGGGAGTGCTTCTGACGCTGATGCTGGCAGTCTGTAAGTGCCTTCCACAGTCCTGCATCCTTTTTCATCTTCAGCAGCAGCTAACCACCCAACAGTGCTCTCCCTCTTCCTAACCAAAAGCATAAACAGCCACGAGTTCATGATCGTGCTCATCGTCATCATTGTTGGTATCACCATCTTCTTTTGCCACAGCCTCGTCCAGCTGTGCATACTGGCAGTCAAGGCGCGCAAGCGCAGGCAGGCGGCGCAGCAGGGGCGGCGGACGCCCGAGATGGTCGGCCCGGATGGCTACGCCATTCCCTCGGAGCCGATCCCCGTGGTGCTGGCGCGCGACGAGGAGGCGGTCGGCATCCAGAGCGAGGCGACCAAGACAGGGCCGCCAGCGTACGGTATGTGGCGCGAGAGTGTGGTACGTAAGCCCCTCTCTCTGATGGATTATCGAACAATGCTGACGCGGAACAGAGGGTCGACCCGGACAGGCTGTACTGGGCACGGAACGAGCGAGCACCGCCGCTGGTGGACGAGGTTTCGGAGGGTAGCAGCCTGAGCGACTCGGGGAGCGCACCCAGCGCCGGGTCTCGTCCCGGCGTCCACCGTCCGCCATCATACTTGTCAGACGACGGGGTTAGTTATGTGGTTGATGCCCAGCCAAGGTCGATAGCGCCGACGGCAACGGGGTCGTCGGGCTCGCAGTCCTTTTCGAGTTCAGAGTCATCAGCGAGCGGAAGACCTGCTGGATCATGGGTCTAGAGGCTGATAGACTTGAGCTTGCGTGCCAGGGGAACACTAGCGGTTGGGAAAAAAAGGAAGATGTACTTTTGGGTTTGAAAGGCGCTCTGGGGAAGATACCAAAGAACTGTACATATGGGACTTGTCAAGACGCACCTGGCGTGCATAATGGAATTCCAACGTTGAATTACTGAACCATGGATGCCGGAACCTACACTGAAACTGTCAAACGACTCCGGCCGCCGGAGCAAGGTGAAGCTGTCGGTCCGTGTAATGTGGTGATGCCGGAGCCAACGCCAAGCCAAGGCCGACAGCAGTGCGACTGCCCCTGAATGCGGCCGTCTCGTGCCGCCCATCATCTCGGGTGAATCGAAAAGGCAACAAGCGCTGCTGCACTCGGGCTCGGGACAACTCTTTGTGGATGCGAGATCGACCCTGCCAGCCCGCTTTGGGACTTCCGTGCCGTGTTCTGTACCCCTGTCTGCCCAAACCAGCTGGCTTGATGTTGTCTGGTGGTGCTGTCGAGGTCGGGCATGATTGGGCGCGGAGAGGGGGAGATCGTAGTGGGCAGGGGTTTATCTGCAGTCCGCGGGGGATGAGCGATGACAACGGTTCCGGTTTGGGGCATGGGCTCAACGCCAGGCTGGTTGGGCTGGGCTGTTTGCCTCGGTTAATATGTAAATTGTTGTTGCTCTCGAGAAAACCTGAAAGACGATGTCAACTGTTGCAAGCCGATGGAGATGGCCTCTCCCCCGCCACGGGTCCACAACGACGGCAACGGTCTGAGATTGTCGGTGGCATCCGATCTCCAACCCCAACGTCTCGGACCGGGGCTGGCGAGAGCAGGGTGACAATGACCTTCCGAGACATGACCGGCCGGGGCCATCGAAACATGATGGAGTTGGGTGCGTGGGCTGCAAAGACAAAGGAGGGGCGAGCAGACGCGGTTGGTCGAATGAAAGCGAAGCAATTTCGAGAGATGCTGCTCGAGCACGAGTCAGGTGGGGCCACTCAGAGCCGCGGCTTGCCCCTCCTTTGGCCCTCCTCGCGAATTGGAGGCGGCGTTCCATGTGGGGTGGTTGTGGTGGAGCTGACACGAGGCCAAGCACCGCGAATTTTTCCCCTAGCGTGCCTTGGGAGCTGAGACTGTCGCACCAGCCGAGCCAGCGCCCGCCAGTGGACCTGACGTGACCTGCTGAGCCCGCGCTGCTTCAGCGCTAGGAAGCATGGACCGTCAGCGATGCAGCCCGCCTAGCCGAAAAGTGGAAGTCGCGCCCCTCGGCGGGAGTACTTGCCCGGTACTTCGACGTTGCCCCAACCCCAGCGCCAAGCCCCACACTCTGCTGTGTTTCTGCTGCAACCACGGTCTCCCTTCCTTCCCCCGAGCTGGCTGCTGTCTTCTTTGTTCCGCTTCTCCCGCTTCTCCTCCTCTTTTCGATTTCCACAGTGTTTTTGGAAACCCATCGGAAAACAGTCGCTCTCAAGGTGTCGTTGGCGCGGAAGTCGGATTTGAAGTCGGAAGTACGTGTCGAGGCTGTTGTCGGACGAAAAAAGAATTATCAATTTTCCTGAGCATCATCCTGCTGGGCTATTTTCTTGTTTTACCAAAAGGTCAGTCCATTCGTTCCCTGCTCCCGCCACCACCATCACCACCACCCGTCGTTACTAGCAGCGCCTCCATTGCTTCTTTGACGACACGTTTGCACACCGTCCATACCAAGACCCGATTCCTACGCCGGAAAGCCGTCCCGCCCGCGCGGTACCTGCTTCGCCTGCCGCCGCCGCCGCGGCTGCGTCCCTCTCGATCCCGAACCATACTGATCCGGCCCCGTCTACCGGACATAGATCCCAGGCCGTCAATCACCATGTTTGGAACTCTCGCCAGGACCCTGCGCGCCTGCCACACCCCCGTCGGTGCTTACCAGGTTATCGTCAACCCGACGCGCCAATTTAGCCAGTCCAGGCCGCTTGCAAACGTGTCAGCAAAGTTGCTCAGGATGGTCGGGCGGCCAGCCACGACGGTATGCTAACCCGCTTGCAGAACTCAAGAATCCTTCGACATGTCGTCAGTCTCTCGTCGCGCGTGCTACAAGTGTGGTGCAGCCCAACCACGAGTCGAACGAGTGCCCCATGCCCCGCACCACCAAGGCGAAGCAGTGCTACCACTGCCAGGGTATCGGCCACGTCCAGGCTGAGTGCCCCACCCTCCGTCTGAGCGGCGGCGTCGGCGCAAACAACCGGTGCTACAACTGCGAATCTGTTGGCCACCTTGCGGTATGCACCCCAACCCCACCCCCACCCCGAAGCGATACCTGGGACATAACACTGACTATCTTCTCAGCGCAACTGCCCTAACCCCCCGGCTGCTCTCGGCAGGGGCGCTCCTGTTCCCCGCGGCGGTTTCGCCCCGCGTGGTGGTTTCACTGGCGCTCCTCGCCCGGCCACCTGCTACAAATGCGGCGGCCCCAACCACTTTGCCCGCGACTGCCAGGCTCAGGCCATGAAGTGCTACGCCTGCGGCAAGCTCGGCCACATCTCGCGCGACTGCACTGCGCCCAACGGCGGCCCCCTCAACACTGCTGGCAAGTCGTGCTACCAGTGCGGCGAGTCCGGCCACATCTCCCGCGACTGCACCAAGAAGGCTGGCCCCAATGGCGAGATGCAGGGTGACGTCGACATGAACGGTTCCCAGGCGATGCCCGCTCAACCCGCGCCTCCTGTCGCGCCGGTTGCTTAGACGGGATATCGGTTAGCATCACCGGGGGAGTCGGGCAAGTTTGGGTTCAATTTCTACGGCAATGCATGGCTTCCGGTCCATCTATCATCTTCTTGATCTTTCCCGCTCTGGACATGGGCAAGACACGACACGACATCGGGTTTTTACACGGCGTTCTCGGTTTTGGCTCGTATCACGATTGGGTTCATGTTTTACTCTTGTCTGGACAACACGATGAAATGGAAAAGAAATCATGTCTCCTCCTGGGCAAGGCTTCCTTTTTTCTTCTCTTCTTTGGAACGGGCACGACGCCGGTCGAGAGGGAGATTTTGTCTCGACCACGGTTGCATCTATCTCTTCGGCATTGTTTTGTGTTTCTTCTTGCTTCCCCCCGCTTTCTCTTTCTCTCATGTCATTTGCCTCCCGGCTTAGACGCTATTTGGAAACATGCAACTTTCAGAGATACCCCCCCTTGGACGGAAATCAGACACTTCGGAGATGGTTGTCGAGGCCCCTGCTGGGTGCTTTGTTGGGCATGTCAGCACACCGGGCTCGGCGGGTTTGTTGAGAGGCAATGAATCGCCAGCCGGGCGCAGGTGGAAGGGGCAAGGGAGGCCAGATCGCGGAAACGAGACAAGAGGGAAGGGTGGTGGAGTTGAGGACTGTTGAAGCTGGTGGTGATAGTGTAGTACGGGTGGTGTTGGGAACGGAAATACATCACTGTTCTGACATGTCCACCTTGCATATCCTGCTGCACTCGTGGCCGTTTGTGTGTCGTCCCTGTGATGGATGGAGGGAAGGGGAGGTGCAAAAAAGCATGGCAGAATACCCCTTGATCAGAGGAATTTCTATTTTGGCTCTACGTCTTTCTGACTTGAGTCCCAGGATACACAACACAGAGACAAGACAACCAAACAACAACCCCGCCTTCCCCTCATCCCTCAACCCTCGACCCTTATCCTTGAAACCCCGCTCCACGCAATGGAACCAAACGGAAATAGTCTCCACAACCACGAAAACAACAGTGGAGATGCCCCCTCATCCACGCCCACACCAGCCCCCCAGCTTCACTCTCAAGCGGCATCTTGGCCGTACGCATCAACAACTCGCCTGATTAGCACAGTGGTAATGCGTTGCACTCGTATCTGCTAGAAATGCAAAGATCACTGGTTCGATTCCAGTATCAGGCAAATCAACCTGATATACCAAGAGTTCCCTGGACAACGATGTTGTCTTCTCTTTTGCTGTACCTCGGTGGCCGCTTGGTCCTCACTTTTTGGCAGGGAACTCATTTCAGGGGAAATCAGCGAGCTTCTCGCTGCAACAATTGCGGCTTCAAGTGTCGTAAAGGGAAGTAAACAGACGGGTTGTTGTTTGAGTTCCTGTTCTCTGATTTTGTTGTCCCAGGCATCCCCGGTCTTGCCTCGACCACCAGGCATACAACCCAAACACAAGTAGAGGCTGCTATTGAACCCCTCAACCCCACGCTCGCCTTGCTTCCTTCAGTCATCACGTCTACAAGACCATTTTTTGTGCCCAACTTGTAACCCTCGGCTAGCGGTTCTTCCGCCTCGACCCCTTTCTATCCAGCTCGACCCAGTTCCCAGTCCCGTTCACCGTTCCCTGTTCATTTCCATCGCCTGCTAGTAACCAAATCAGTCTTCTGATTATTATTTTCTCTGGGCTCCCTACCGCATCAACACTGGGGCTGGGTTAGTGCCGAGGTCCTCAGACTGCCAATGTCAGGGGTTCACAGCTATAGTGGCAATCTCATATCACTCTGGCAATATTGCACATCAGTGGCAGCATCCATTACTCGGAAGGCGGCCGTCCACTTGGAAGTTCAGAACATGCGTTGTGAACCCGGCCCAGGATGCACAAGTGCAACTCCGGCATAAAGCAACTGCAACCGGCTCCTTGGGGACAGCCCAGAACGGCAACTGGATTCGACGGCGGCAGGTCTCACTTGGGGTCTTGTCATACCTGGATTTCATCATCCAAACAAAATGGCGATTTCTGTGTCACCGTCGATCCCTGGTGGTAGCGGTGTACTATTGTTGACCCCATATATTAGTTCACAGCATTGTCAGTCACTCTCCCTCCCCACTCTTCTCCAGCTCCGACATCATCGTTGCCAGGAGGCACCGAGTATCACTTATACCCAAATTTGAAGCAACATCACTTAATAGATAGTAGCCCACACTCGCTATTTGCAACCTACAACCATCATGAAGACACATCCCTTCCGCCTCCTGCTAGCTGGCCTACTGGCCGATATCGCCTCCTCCGAGTCCTGTCCGGACTACTCATTATACTCCCAAGCCCGCCATGAGCCCTTTTCGTCCGGCAAACATGATTTACCATACCAAAGACCGGCCCCAGCATGCCGCACATTCAGCTCATTCACCATTGAGTCCCTCCTCACCAACATGAGCTCCATCATCGCCGACCCCGACCTCTACCGCCTCTTCGAGAACACCTACCCCAACACCCTCGACACCGCCATCCGCTGGCGCGGCCACGCCGCCAACAACACCGCCGAGGAACTAACCTTCCTCATCACTGGCGACATCGACGCCATGTGGCTGCGCGACAGCGCCAACCAGCTGCAATCCTACCTCCCTATCCTCGAGCCCGACGGCGCCCTCAACAACCCCAACTCCATCGCCAGCCTCTACCGCGGCGTCATCAATCTTCAGGCCCGCTATCTTCTCACTTCGCCCTACTGCAACTCCTTCCAGCCCCCTCCCGAAAGCGGCCTCCGCCCCTCCCAAAACACCGCCGCCACCACCGACACCGTCTTCCCTCCATACGACCCGAACTCCGTCTTCGAATGCAAATACGAACTCGACTCCCTCGCCGCCTTCCTGCAGATCTCAGTAGACTACTACGAAGCCACCCACGACGCAACTTTCTTCGCCTCTTTTCAGTGGCTACCCGCCCTCCCAAGCCGTCCTAGCAACCGCCAAAGCCATGCAAACACCTACCTACGCCCCCGACGGCTCTGTCCTGCCCAGCCCGTACCGCTTCACCCGCCAGACAACCCGCCAGACGGAAACGCTCGCCAACGACGGGCTGGGAAGTCCCGTAAAGGCCGGCACGGGGCTGATACGCAGTGCGTTCCGGCCGAGTGATGACGCGACAATGTTTCAGTTTCTAGTGCCGGCGAATATGATGTTTGCGAGGTATATGGGAGTGCGAGACTGATTGTGGAGAAGCTGGGGGAGAGGGCGCCGCGGGGTTGGCGGAGGAGATGGGGAGGTTTTCGGGGAGTTGAGAGAGGCTGTGACTAAATATGGGATTGTTCCGGTGGTGAAGGAGGGGGGGAATGGGACGCAGGAGGTGGATAAGGTGTATGCGTATGAGGTGGATGGCTTTGGGTCTGCGGCGGTGATGGATGATGCGAATATCCCGTCGTTGTTGGCAGCGCCAGTGTTTGGGTACTTGGCGAATACGGATCCGGTGTATCAGCGGACGAGGAAAAGGCTGCTGAATGAGGAGGGGAATCCGTATTATATGAAGGGGTCGGTGATCAGTGGTATCGGGGGGCCGCATGCTGGACCGGGGATGGCGTGGCCGATGGCGAGTATTGTGAGGATTTTGACCTCGGATGATGATGAGGAGATTGTGAGGACGCTGAAGGAGATCTTGGGCAGTACTGATGGGCTGGGGTTGATACATGAAAGCGTCAACTCAAACAATGCGAGTCAATGGACAAGACAGTGGTGAGTTGTTTGACCCTTTTTAGAAAGACGGACGCTGACAAGACAGGTTTTCTTGGGCCAACGGGCTGTTTGGCCAGATGATTCTCGACCTACGCTTCCGCAAACCGCATATCCTAGAGCAAAGCTTCCAGTAGCATTATCAAGAGTAGCAGCATTAAAACAACATCATTGAAGTAGCTTGAAGTGCTACCACCAAGGCATGAGACCAAGCTTTGGTATGCCCCCTCTTTGATGGCTTCAATCTTGGTTTTTAACCTCTAGTCTATCCTAATAGCCTCTAACCATTTATCCCATATGCCTAGTCTAGGTGAGAAGAGTGTTTCTGTTCTTGTTTGCCAGCTGATGTTTCAAGCCAAAAGAATGCCGCAAAAAAAAAAAAAAAGGCAAGAAATTATGTGCAAGTAAAAAAAAGCAAAGAATGGAATACACAGTGGTATCAATAACGGTGGTCGTTCAATTTGTCGTCGCGAAGCCAGCAAAAAATGATCGCTCGGTCCCCTGGTAGCCCTTCCCACCTGACAACCCTTAGGCCACCGCCAGAAAAGGATCCTCCCTCATCTCGAAATCCGGCGTTCTCCCCTCCTCGACCGCCTTCAGGGCAACATCATCCAGCGGTAGCATCCTCCCACCAGTGCCCTTCCTCGACCCGCGGCGCGCCATCTCCCTGCGAATCCCATGGTTGACCGCATCAAGTACGGTATCAACCAGCTTCCTTGGCTTGTACTTGGGCTCAGTCCCCGCCTGATACACTCCGGTCTTCACCAGGATACTGTACCAGTCATTCTTCGCCGTCTCATTCATCGCGTTTGTGCCCCGGATATCGCTCTCGGGGGTATCCCCAACAAAATACACCGTCCGGGGCGGTTCGCTCTCGGCCAGCCCATGCTGCGCCGCGCGCCACTGCTGCAGCAGCCTAGTAGCAAACTGAAACGTCGACACCTGGGGCTTGCCGAACGCGTGCGTCTTGAGCTTCTTCCCGCCAGTGGTATCCTCAAACACGGTCTCAACTATGCGCCGCAGCGCGCCCATCCCCAGACGAGCGTGCTCGTGCGCCGCCGACCACAGCACGTCGTTGTGGCTGAAGTAGATGGGCGGGCCTTCTTCGAAGGTGTTGGAGCGTGTTTCGAGCCGCCCGCCCTGGGACTGAGCCACGTCGAGGATGATCTGCAGGTCTGAGGCCCAGTCGCGCGAGTCGGCGAAGACGAAGACGGCTTCAATGACGATGTTGGAGAGGTCCCCGCCGCAGCGGGTGAGCAGGTCGCGGGAGGAGGCGTGTTCGGTGTCGGTGAGCTTGCGGAACGGGGCGGTGGCGGAGTTGGCTTTGAGGATGTCGCCCGGGGTGATGACGTCGCGGAAGCCGTAGGACTCGGCGACGTCGCGGCACTTCTCGCCCTCGCCGCCGACGACGAGGACTGTGCCGTAGCGGTCGGCGAATTCTCGCATGGGCGTGTGGCCGCAGATGAACTGGCCCGGCGAGACGTCGATCTCGAGTTGTTGGGAGAGGTCGTGACAGCGCTCGGTTTCGAACTTGCCGCCGCCGTTGGTGAGGAAGATGTAAGGCCTGGTGGCGTAATGTTAGTGCTGCTGTTGATGGTCGGGGGGGGCCGGGAGGTTGAAGTCACTTACACCTTGATGCCCCACTCGTTCTCGCCGTTGAGCACCTTCATGGCCTCGACGGCTTCAGGGATCGGCCGCCCGCCGCGGATGAGCACGCCATCAATGTCGAAAGCAAACGCAAAGTTGTCGGCCACATCAGGGTCGATGGCTGGGGTGATGGGTGCCGTGAAGGGCGTGGCCGGGCTGAGGGGCGAGTCGGTGCCCACCGGTGAGCAGGGGACAGACTCTTCCGTGGCTGAGCTGGACGACGACAACGCGGGCGAGAGGACCTCCTCCTCTTCACCGGGCTCATGGACGCCGAGTTGGTCGAGCTTGCTCCGGGCTACGTCGAAGGCCTCGGCAAAGCTGCTGCTGGACAGCTGCCGCGGGCACATGAACGGCCTTGGGGGCACTGGGAGCGAAGACATGGTGGATGTGGGTGGATATCGGAATCAGTATGTAAAGAAATAACTTTGCCTGTAGCGATCAAACAAAGGCAGGAATATTCCACCTGGATGCTCATCAGATTCTGAGCGACGATGGGTCAAATGATGTGCTGGGCTGAACTATCCAAGGCGAAAGGGGTCGACTGAAGGCCTGGGGACGGTCTCTTTTATAGATCGAAGTTGTCCATAACACGCCATCCCGATAATGCCAGAGCAACCACATGGGGGGTGAATCGCCGGCATGCAATCAGACCGCGACAACCCGTCACAGAACAGGGTCTCAGGGTCTTTGTGGGCGTGGTGGATACCTGGGAGGCGCGGAGCATGGGGACGAGGCAGCCAGGGTGGACATTTCATCATTCAGTACCTCGCTTGGCGATGGTGAGAAAACTGGAGATGGTGGCTTGGGAGCATCATATCGAA